TTAATCTCCACGCATGCGTCATTTGCTATTCGTGTCTGTATAATTTGTACGACTGCATGGAGAATGACCCGATACTCTCCAACAAAGCTATCGCTAGGTGATTGTTTTGCAGAATATCGGTGTTGCATTCTGGGAGCCAATCCTCCTTGCTTTCAATTAAAAGCAAGAGTCACGTGACTGTCTTGTGATCTGAACGTAGACAAAATGGTGGACAAATATAAAATCAAAATGTTATTTATTTCGCATTTTTCCTCACATATCTTATGTTTTGTCTTAATGGGTCTAGTTTTATTGTCTCATTCGTGTAAAGCAGATTGTAAGTGGGGGAGATATGATTTTTCGCCATTAGAACCACCAGGGTAAGTCAGAAATTTGTTATGGTCTAAAAAATTAAATTTTTCCTTTTCCTTTTTTTTGTAAAATCAACAGGAAATACCTAAGTTTATAGCTTAGGGAGCTACTTATAAAGGTTCTATGTGGATTTGAGTGCTATCTTTTCTCCACTTGAGGGATTTTATAGACTGGTTGAATTCCACTTCCCCCTTCATTTAGAAACAAGAATAGCCAAAATTCATCCTCCAAACCATGGGCTTTCAATTATAGTTGAAAGCCCATGTCCAAACATAGCGTATTTCGTAGGGAATTGATTTTTATGTTTGTATGTATCTTTATTTGTCCAAGCTCAAAATTGATCTCATATGAATTTATATTACAAGCACATTGAGGCAAATGATCTACCATAGCAACAACAGTTAATAAAAACATATAAGCAAAAAATTGACATTGACACAGTGAGAACAAACAAAGTTTTGCACAGTACAGTATTTGGAAAGGGAGGTACATGTGATACATTATTTTCCCTTATTACAGCTGATCAATAAATTGTATATATACATTGCAACTATTGTCTGATGCTTCGATCTTACTCGAGTCTCTAGTCAATACTTGGCAAGAAGACATGGCATGTGGATCACTGTGCAGTAGTTAAAACGTTTGTCCTGGTGAAAAATAAATTTAAATATTGTTTTGAAAATTGTAATGAGAATATTCAATATTAAAATTGAAACGAACACTTTCCTTTGAGAGATATTGCATACTTTCATCTAAAATTAAATCAACAGCTCCAAGAAAAATGGCTGATGTTCAACGACAACAACAAAAACTGGACGAAACGTCATTATTGTCTGCCATTATAATGGCTGTAAATTCAAAGTAGTAATCCAAGAGATTTGAACTAATACATTGATCACTTTGTGTGTGTTTTGAGAGTTTTTATGTGGAATTAAGACTGAAACTCGCAATTCAAGTTGTGAAGTGAATAAATCACGGCTGGTTGATTTTAAATTTTATGATCACAACATGCCTTATATAAGGCAGAATAAAATACATAGGGATTTATGATTGACGTAAGACTGCAATGAAGTGGAAGCCTAAGGAGAAGGTAAGTTTGATCCACAGAGCATACAGTAGCACTGACATGCTGCAATTGTCCGGAGTTCTGTTCCTTGTTTTTGGCCTTTGCATATTGAGTCTCCAATTATTGATTGCATGCCTAGTTCTGATACATCATTATCCCATCGAACGAAGTTGGGAGGGATATAGGGAACGCCTCCGTCCGTCCGTCCGTACGTACGTCCGTCCGTCCGTCCGTCTGTCCGTCCGTCCGAGCAATAACTCAAATACCGTTGGCCCGATTTTGTTCATATTTTGTACACATATACCCTATGGGGGTAGAAGTTCTGCTCGAAAGCCGATTTTCAAAATGGCCGCTCATTTCAAAATGGCGGCCATTTTAGTGCCGATGTTACAGTAATTTAGGTGCTATATGTAAAACTGTAATAGCAATATGTTTTAAATGTAAAAAAATTATAAGGGGCATTAATAATGCTACAAATGTAGATATTAAAGAAGCACATGGCAGCCATCTTGAAAAATGGCGGCCTTTACTCGTCATTTTACGATTTTTGCTGTAACTCAAAAAATAGTGGAGCGATTTTGTTCATATTTGGTATGTGAATACTATAAGCATGGCACACTGTCCTATGACACTTTGGGTAGAAGGCAGCCATTTTGAAAAAAAATTGAAAAATGGCCGCCATTTTAACGTCTTTTACTATAACTCGAAAAGTAGTGGAGCAATTTTGTTCATATTTGGTATGTGAATACTATAAGCATGGCACACTGTCCTATCACACTTTTGGTAGAAGGCGGCCATTTTGAAAAAAATTTTGAAAAATGGCCGCCATTTTAACATATTTTACTATAACTTGAAAAGTAGTGGAGCGATTTTGTTCATATTTGGTATGTGAATACTATAAGCATGGCACACTGTCTATTTCTAATGACACTTTTGGTAGAAGGTGGCCATTTTGAAAAATGGCCGCCATTTTAACGTATTTTACTATAACTCGAAAAGTAGTGGAGCGATTTTGTTCATATTTGATATGTGAATACTCTAAGCATGGCACATTGTCTAATAAAACTTTGGGGAGTAGTCGGCCATTTTGAAAAATGGAAACCATTTTTATGTGTGTTATTTTACAAGTACATGTGTGATTTTTTAGAGGTGGCTACTTAAAAGCATATTATTTCTTCTGATGACAACTTGGCTAGTGAGCAACCATTTGAAAATGGTGGCCTTTCTGGTGTGTTGTTTTATGATATTTGCTATTCGTTTGTAAAAATGCCAGCCATTTCTGTTCGATGGGATTCGCTACGCTTTGGCGTTGCCGTTGTTCTGGTTGAACCTGTTTTTGGGCAGTTTTACAGTATTCAGGAGCGTTTTTTGTTAGAGGGGTAGAATTTTAGATGCTTCATTTCAACTAATATCTTTATTTTTTCATCATAAGTGAACCTTTAAATATATGGAAAAACTAATGCCCCCTTTACAGACAATAGGTTTGACCATTTTTTATGATATTATATCTCAAATAATGAAAAATAAGGAAAATAATGAATTCAAACAATTTCCTTTGTATAATGTGCATATTTAATGTATTTTGCATAATAGATGTACCAAGACAATGGTATGAGTATGTCCAATAATACTCAACTAAGTTTTTTTAGGGAATCCTTATAAAAGTATGTTTTTTTTAATTTTGAATAATTCAAAAGGTAAAAAATGGCTTTCTACCCCTATGTCAAATGCCATAAAATTTGTCTTGATGACTTTGGCAATCTATAAAGCCATGTAGTTTTGTATTTGAGCCATAATACACCTAAGTTTCAAGTTTCAACTTAATTACTCAATAGACGTGTATGCTACCTCATGTCAAAAAAATGTGCCATTTACACTTGGATGTGACTATTTAGTTTGACAGCCCAGAACTTATTCTATGGTAGTCATAATACAAAATGCTAGCTGTTTTAGCATCAAGCTAAGTATAAAATATTAGATACACCTTTTTACTGACTTAAAAACGGTCAAATATGCAATAAATCACAACAATTCTAGCAGAAAATTGGAAATTAATGGAATACAATTGAGATAGTAATGGTATAAAATGCCTTTTCCTTATTTTATTTAAGTACATAATGTTATATGATGAACTGGTATAAATGCTTAACTGATTATTGATGTAAGTCTTGATAATAGGCTTCTCTTTTTCAAAGGCTGGCATAATGTAAGCACAATGCAGTTGACTATTGTGGATGTGACAAAAAAAATTGACACATGTCAAATCTAAAAAGACTGGAACTGCTACATAGCGACCTAACTTATACATATTATGATGTTAACTACTGATAAATTTCAATACTTAAACATATTTCCATAATATCTTTTGCTTTAATAAATTTGTTTTTAACATTTGTTATTTGTGCAAAGCACACATTATGCAAATATCAGTCCAAATGCACATTTTATCATGCATATCTTAAAAGTTTGAAATAAAATATTACTCAGGATCCTTTTATCATCAAAAATATCATTGCATGATTTATAAATATTCCACTGTGAGGATATCCTGATAAATGAAATTATCATGGATGTGACAAAATTTTTGACATATTCTCCTTCAGCAAGATCCCATTGGGCAATGATGAATGTACATGTACTGTGTCTTAACATTTTTGATAGCTTTTTACTTTGATTTAATATGCTTTTCCTGCTCCCTGGGAAGTGTAAATGGGCCATGTTCTGCTAGAGAAAACATTGCCCCCATCCTTCTATCTTTCAGGAACTCATCAGCCTCTTTTGCATCTCTGTCCTCTGACTATTCTTCCTTTGGTCACTTCATGCACAATCAGCTTCAGATTTGCCATTTAGCTGCCAAAATGATGTGTTTTGATTGACAAATCTGCACCAAAGCTTTCCATGTCCAAATATTTGTTTGGCATAATGAAGTGGCAGTGACCAATTTTATAGTTGGGTTGGGTGTTGACTTTTGAATTTCTTATACACGGCAGAATAAGTGAAATAGCTTGCTTTTCCTTTACTCTCTTAACTAGTGGGAGTTCATGAGATGCATTGTACCAGAAGTAAGAAAGTGTTTTTTGAAT